ACCTCCAAGGCAGGCGGATCTTCAGACCTAAGTAGACAAGGATGGGGAGCGTGAAGACCAGGAAGAGATAGAGCAGGTCCGTGTGCCAGCCTGCCTTGAGCTCTGGGAAGAAGCACATAGTGGGTCACATGGAACCCACCTCTACAGAGGCACGTGGCGTGGGGCGGTGGGCAGGGGTCTGGGTGGCGGGGAAGGGGCTGGGAAGGCTTCGGTGCCTTGAAGTGAGGTGGGTGGGGGTTCAAATCCCCCTCCCACCGCCGCCCTGGGTAAGTGACTTTATCTGCTGGGCCTCAGTTTTCTCATCTACGAAATGGGGATGAGGATGCTTACTTCACAAACTGATAGGGAGACGCACAGCCTGGCAGGAGAGGCCCCTGGCACCCCACGCAGGGCCTGCAAGCAGGGGCTCCCGAGCTGTCAAATGGCTGCTCCTGGGATATGGCTCAGCTGAGTGGATACCTCGCACCATGCTGGACGTCTCGGGGCTCAGGACAAGGCTTGGCACCAAGAGTGGGCGTCCACCCAGCTTCACACCTACCTTCTGGCTGGGTGCGAAAGAGGACCGGGTCGCTCCACTCGCTCCAGGGCCCCTGGAAGGAGGAGCCGGGCTGGGGCCCCGCCCGCACCTGCAGCTCATAGCTGGCGCCTGGGTGGAACTCCAAGGGCAGGAGGGAGACGCTCCTGACGTCCACTGAGATCAGCTTCCTCCCCGGACTCTGCCAGCACAGGGGAAGGGCGCGCTGTGAGGGCGAGCGGGCGGCCCTGCCTTCACCCCCATCCCCCCAGCTGAACCACCCCCAACCATCTCCTGGGGTCTGCACTCCCTGCCCGAGAGCCAGGCCCCCGCTGGAGTTCTGGCCGCTCCAGTGTGGGCAGCGCAGAGCCACGGGCACGTCTCAGCCTTGCCCAGGTCACGATGCTTTGTTCATGGCTCTCTGACCCCACAGCAGGGGACTCTCCTGCTGGGACTGGGGCTGTCCCAGGAGCAGTGACGGCCACTCCTGGCAGTGCTTAACGGGCAGACAGCTGGCATCCCCACAGTGGGCATTCTCCACAGCGGGCATTTGAAAGGCTCCAACCACAGGCCTCTTAGCCGTGGAAACCTCGGGAGTCTTCCACAGGGACAGACTAAACATGAAAACCTTCAACTGGGGCCATTCTGAAGGGTAGAGAACGCTGGAGCCCTTCTAACAGCGGCTACCTGGAACCCTCTGACACCTAGACAGAGGACACTGCTGGGCCTTCAGCTTGGAAACAATGTCCTGACCCTGGACCTTTTGGTTATGGAAGCTTCTGGAACTCCTCAACTGTGGCCGGCCGCCCTAAGCAAAGTGGGACGGTTCCAAACCCCCAATTCTGAAACAACTACGGTCGCTAGACACGAGGCGGGACCTGCAGAGGTGCCAGCCCCTTCCTCTGGCAGCTGGTAGAGAGAAACCAGGAACGGGAAGGAAGCAGTTTTAAGGGGTCTCCTACCCCCAGGGAGAAGGGGAGAGGGCAGCATGAGAGCATGTAAGGCAGCGGTTCTCAACCTGTGGGTCGCCACCCCTTTGGCAGTCGAACGACCCTTTCACAGGGGTCGCCTAAGACCATCCTGCATATCAGATATTTACATTACGATTCATAACAGTAGCAACATTACAGTTATGAAGGAGCAACAACAATAATTTTATGGCTGGGGGTCACCACAACATGAGGAACTGTATGAAAGGGCCAGAAGGTTGAGAACCACTGATGTAAGCGGGGCTCCATCCTGGATTTCCATTCTTGGCTGTGAATGACCAGCTCACCGGTCTCCCAGGCACTCCCCTCCCCCACCTTTCTCTGCAGTCTCACCTGCGTCCAGCGGTCTCCCTGCTTCCTGTACCGCAGCTCATACTGCAGTTTGCCCTTGAGCGCGTACGAGTCGTAATTGGAGCTCCAGGAGATGTTATAATGTTCCGAGAAGGTCACGGTCACGTTGAAAGGAGGAGACAGCTTGACTTAAAGAAAAAAGCCAGAAAGATAAGATGGGTGAGATTTGTGTCAGCTGGACATGCCCTGGTGGCCCAACCTTTCTGTGACCAGGGTGAGTGGCCCCAGGTGGTGGGTGAAGCTTCCCCTGTCTCCGGGCTTCAGTTTACTCATCTGAAAAACGGACTGCTGTGGGGCTGCAGATGCAGAGGCGGCAGGTGACAGATACAGTGAAGCAGGTGTGGGCACTGAACTATAAAGAGCCCTCCCAGCACACAGGGGCCGGGCAGGAGTGCAGACCAGGGTGGCCAGGAAGGAAAAACCCGAAAGCCCAGATTATTGTAGGAAATCGCTCAAATGTTAAAGTTAGCCGCTGATCCAGGCCTTTCTAAGCTCCCTGATGGCCACGCCCACAGGTTCTCTAGCCCTGCTGTCAGTGAGGGCGTCAGTGAGCCCCATCGACTCTGACCAGCGAGGGGCAGCTGACTCTGCTCTGCAATGAGTGTCCTGCTGTGGCGGGAAGCTACCGGCCGAGCAGTCCGACCCGCCGTGGCCCTGAGTGTGACCGCCCTCACCTCACAGGCACCTCCCGGAAAGTGTAAGCACGGCGATCTGGACCACACGCACGGCCCCGGGGGCCCTCCCAAATCTGCCTTCAACCTGAGAGGACACCCACAGTACGTGCCTTCATGCCCTCTCATGGAAAAGGGAATCGGTTCCTATCACACGGAGTGAAAGTTCATGGGCCAAGCTAAGTAGAGAAGGAGGGCACGTCAGGGGAGCCAGTGGCAAGTTGCTCCTGTCAGAGGGAAGCGGGGCCTGTGCCCATACCCGCCTTCTCTGGGCTGCTGGCCACCCCCTCTCTGGGATCTCAGCTCCTTGGGGCAGAGGGTTAGTTCTCCGGGGTCAGTGCTGTGCCTGCACCTCTGAAGACAGAGTCCGGCGCACAGTAGGTCCTCACGAAATGCCTGTTAAACCCAGGTGTTCCAAAAGGAGCTCTGAAGCTGCCTCCAGCTCCGCCCCGCGGCCTGAGGTGCGAGAAGGCGCACATTCACGCTATGCTGAGTGCTCTGTGGTGGTTGCTCTCTCAGCCACGGGCCCCTCTGAACTGGAATAGTCCCTAAGCCCTTCTCTCTCCTCCCAGGCCGGCGGGGGCCTGGTTGTCAGCGTCCTTGGGGCCTGGCTGGCTGGTAAGGACCCATTCACGGGGGAACTCAGCTCTGGAGATGCTGGCGCAGCCCAGGGCCCAGGAGGACCAAGGGGCCGGGGAAGGCTGCCCAGGGACAGGAGACTGCCTCCTCCTCCGCTGAGCACAGGCCTGGCCTCAGACCCTGGCAGGAGGGGGGAGGGGGGGCCAGAAGAATGCCAGGAGGAGGGGCAGCCCTGCCCTGTGCCCTCCTCTGCCTGCCCAGCTCTCAGGGAGATAGGAGGGCACCCCTGCTCGGTAAACCAACACACCTGGATCTAAATGGCTGAGTGAGTGTGCATGTGTGTAGGCATGTGCATGTGTGTGTGTGCATAAACATGAGAATGTGGGCATCTGTGTCCGTGCTATCTAGGCCAGGGGTTGAGGGGGTTTATGAGTGTGTGTCCGTGTGTGTGTCCGTGTGTGTGTGTGTCTGTGTGTCCATGTGTGTCCATGTATGTGTGTGAGTGTGTCCATGTGTATGTGTGTGTGCGCATGTGTGAAAGTCTGTGTGTGTGTGTGTGTCCATGTGTCTGGGTGTGTGTGTGTGTGTGCACGTGTGAAAGTCTGGGTGTGCCTGGGAGTGTGTGAAGTTTGCTCACATGCTCTGTGGTGTGACATCCACTCAGCAAAGTGGTGCAGACCTGGACCCCAGAGCGCGAATGAGACACCTGCGTGTCCCCTCCCCGCCCACTGGGGCCCGGGAGGCAGACACTGCCAAACCGCAGGCCTGCACCTTCCCGAGGGCGGGATTCTCTTGGCGGTTCATTTCTGCATGCCTCTGGGGACAGGCCTCTCACTCCCTACCTGGACACCCCACTTGGCGCTCACATCACACTAACAGCTGCCTCTGGCCCCTTCCCTGCCCCACCCGGACTCTGAACCCACAAACACAACTGCTTCCACCAGCCAGGTCCCTCTGTCCCTGGGCCTCCTCCCTGCCTCCTGGAGCTAACGATGGGAGGAAACTTGGGGAGGTTTTCTCTTGTGACTCAGTGTCTCCCACTTGCCTCACACTGGGAGAGAATCCCAGGGGTCAGAGTTAAAGGGCTCTCATTCTATAGTGCAAGGTCGCGGGCTGAACCAGAACGGCAGCCCCAGGTCCCGGCCCCAGATCTCCTTCACCCGCTGCTGCCTGTCTCTGGTTCAGGCCAGGCCCCGCTGCCACCCCACACCTGGCAAACGCCGCATCTACAGGGCCAACCTCCAACGAGAGGCAGGGCGTGGGACGGTCAGTTTGCGGGGGCGGGGGAGCCGGCCCGGGGAGCGTGGGGCCCAACCCCGCCTGGGTTCTCCTCCAAGTACTCACGGCTCTCGGCCAGGACAAAGCTGCCACACTCCTGGGAGCGGTTGCCAGGCTGGTCTGTCATGTTGACGCTGAAAATGTCGTCGGCCATGAAGCGGAACACATCCATGTGGCACGTGTACTTGGCGTGAGTGGCATTGTGCGTGGACCGGTGGAGGCTGCAGGAGGTGACCTCATCCTCCAGTTCTCCGTAGGGGTCTTGCCTTCGAGGACAGAGCAGCCAGTCACGGCTAGTGGCCGGCGGGGCTCAGTGCACGGGAGGGGCTGGCGGTGGGGCTGGAGCTCACCTAGTCCCACCAACCCTTCCCTGGGAAGGTTTCCCCTCCCCTGGAACAGCCCTGGGGGGTTGGTCCCGGCTCCGGGCAGCACGCCTTCAAGCGACCAGACTCACTCCATCACTCAGAGCAGCAACTCTCAGCTGCAGAAATCGGGCCACTCTTGCCTGAATGCATTCTAACTCTGACCCTGTCCGCTCCATCTCCTGGATCACTGTCCCATGGGAAGGGCGCTAAGCATTTCCGGCCCCCTTCCCACTCTCCCTCCATCCAAAATCCACCGGACACCGAAGCAAGAGCCACACGAAGCTCCGTCCTGCTCTGGTGAACTTCCAGGGAGGTAGTTAATATGGGGTCGGAGGAAATGTGCTGGCTTTATAACTCCCACTGGGCAGAATCAATGGGTTTTGAAGGATGCATAGAAGTTCACCAGCTATCCACCCCCCTCCCCCTACAAATTCAGGCTGGGAACATGACCACCCTCCAAGGCCAGTATGGACGTGTGGGTTCAGGTCTCTGCGAAATGTTAGCTGGAATAGAAACGTCTCCTGAACAATGCTCTCCAAGCCTCCAGCCTGGACACTGATGGCTGCCTGGTGGGGTCCTCGCCTTGCCCGCCCTCCCTGCGATCTCTTCCACTTGCACAGCAGCCAGGGGCCTTTAAGACTCCCCGTCACTCCCCTGGTGGCTTCTCACTGCCCACACCACAGAGCCGGCCCTGCCACCCTCCCGCCTCCTGTGCCGGCTGTTCCCCTCCACCTGGCCCCGCCCCCTCCGGCCACCTGACGTCCTCACCATGCCTCAGCTCTCCCGCTCTCCCGCTCTCCCGCCTGAGCCCTTTGCACATGCAGTGCCCTCTGCCTGGACGGCCCCTCCCCAGCTCACCCGCTGCCGCCTCCTCACCCACAGAGGCTGCCCCGACCCCTTGGCCCTCCCCCACATCCCTGCTCTCTACCAGCGGGTCCAGCTTCCTGTTCCTGACAGAGATCATAGTACTCAGAAAGCATCCTGCTGGCTGCGTGTGTGTGCGTGTGTGTGTGTGTGTGTCTCACCAGCCACTCCCGCTGTGCGTGTGCGTGCGTGTGTGTCTCACCAGCCACTCCTGCTGCGTGTGTGTGCATGTGTGTGTGCGCGTGTGTGTCTCACCAGCCACTCCCGCTGCGTGTGTGTGCATGTGTGTGCGTGTGTGTGCATGTGTGTGTGTCTCACCAGCCACTCCCGCTGCGTTTGTGTGTGTGTATGTCACCAGCCACTCCTGCTGTGTGTGTGCATGTGTGTGCATGTGTGTGTCTCACCAGCCACTCCCGCTGCGTGTGTGTGTGTGTCTCACCAGCCACTCCCACTGCATGTGTGTGTGTGTGTGTGTGTGTCACCAGCCACTCCCACTGCGTGTGTCAGCTCCAGGACACCTGGGACCGCATGGCTGGGCCTCTGATGAGTCCCCAGTGCCTGCACGTGTCAGGCAGGAGCTTAATCAAAGTGCCCGTGTGAATGGATGAATGAGTGGGTGATGCCAGTCTCTCCTTGACCACACGCTACACAGGCTCCTCTGCACTCTCCTCACCGTGGCCCTGACTTTCCGGTTTCCGTGTCTGTCTCTGCGTCGTCTACTTTGAGCAAGACTCCTGCTAAGTCGGTCCAGCTGGAAGCCCCACCCTCAATGCCAAAGTGGGCTCCTCCTCCTCCACCAGCCCCCAGTGGAGTCTGGGCCCCCTGGGCTGCCTCAGCAGGAGCCCTGTTAGGTCGGCTGAGCCCGGAGCCCTCGGGCCCCTGTGGTTCCCTCCTTGTGGTTCCATGCACTGACCACCCTGCTCCTTGGCTATAAACCCAGCTTTTCCTTGTTGTGTTCCTAGTTGAGCCCAATCAGCAAAACCCTGTGCAATGGCCCTAGCCTGCCACGATGGTCTTTAATAAAGTCCGCCCTACCGTTCTTGAACAAGTGTCATGCATGATTTTTTTCTTTAACAATATGGACTTACAAGGACCCGTGGAGTTTGGAGTCAGGCTGCCTGTGTTTGAAACCAGGTCCGCCATTCGCTGGCTGTGTGACCTCGGGCAAGTTGCATAACCTCTCTGAACCTCAGTGCCCTCACTTGTAAAATGAGAGTCATAATTGTGAGGGCCGGAGGTGGTCACTCATGTGAAGCACATGGCGGGCTGCCTGGCATGAACTAAGTGCTCAAAAACATCGTGTGGGAGTCCGGTCACCTCGGCGTCTCAAAGCCATAGTCAGGCCTACGTGAGTGACAGAGAACGGCCTTGGAGCTGGACAGAGCGGCCCTACGCCTCTCAGTCATTCTCTGCACAAGTCGCGTGAGCCCTGGGTGCTCGTCTGCAGGATGGGCACAGTGACTCCCATCACACAGGCTTTCTTGGGGCGAAACCAACTGCTGTGGGTGAAGTTGCTGAGTGAGCCCCCAGGAAGCACAGCTCTTGTCTTTATTGCTCAACTACCCATCTGGCACACAGTAGGTCCAACTCAGCTCACGGTCTCCTGTGGTCCTGTCCTGGGAACGTGCTCCCCTGAGGAGCACTCTTAGGGCCGGTGAGGCCCAGCCACTTACCAGGTGAGGGTGAGCATGCTGGGGTGGGGGGTCCACGTCTCCAGGAAGCAGGTGACCGTCCGCAAGTAATCGGTGTAGCAGACAAGGTCTGAGCATCCCCAGGCTGCAGGGCGAGGGAGGGAGAGGCCTTGTAAGGGTTGGGAGGGGGCTGCAGAGCTCCCCGCTCCCTCAGCCCGTCCAGGGCGGGAGGATGAGTGGAGGCGGGTCCCAGGGCCAGGATGAATACGGCGAGTCAGGGGCCACCAAGATGTGGGACTGAGGCAAGAAGGCCCTGTCCCCTGGTCTGAGATTCCGTGTCTGAGCCCCCAAAGTTTCAAGGCCAGCGACGGGGACAAGACACTCCTAACGAGACAGAATTCACTCAGTGGGTCATAATCTACATTTTGTTCCGTATTTAACAAAATAAACGTAGTAAGTTTTAGTTTTGTTTTATCAGATCAAGTGCCAGTGCTGCTCTCCCCCCTCCCCCCCACCATTTACCAGAAGTGTGATCCCCTGTTCAAGTAGCTTCATCTTCAATGGCCTTTCCTTACTTTCCCGTGGCTCATGGGGACCCGGGTCAGAAGCTGGGCACGGAGCCCGGAGCGCCGCTCTGGAAAGTCCGGGCGTCCGCCCTCCACACACGGGCAGGCAATGCCGTGGACAGGACACTCCCTGGGCGCAGCCTCAGAGGCCTCCCGCGGCCGGGGCTGGGAAATGACTCCCGCTCTAGGCTCCCCTCGGGGAGGAGGCAGCCTGCCCCGGGCACTTGGGGAGAATGGGCACTGCTTTGGATGGAGGCAACATCAGGGGCCAGAGGGAGCGAAAACCCGGCCACCTGGGCAGAGAGCCTCGGGGCTGTCCCTGGTCTGCGGTCACCAAAGCGTGGACACGTGCCCCAGGCCACTCGCGCCACTACCTGTTGGGGACCTGGTCCCTGGAGGGCGTGGAGGTGACATGTGCTGTCTGTCACAGGTGCAGCCCCTGCTCGAGGAAAGCAGCCAAGCAGGTGACCACGGGAATCAGCACACCCGTGGCCTGACCCAGGGCTGCCGCCGCCTGTCGTGTGGCCGTGACCTGTCCCTGACCCTCTCGGGGCCAGTGTTCTCAACTGAGAACTGGGGGCCCTCGGCATGGGCCTGGGGGGCTGTCAGGAGCACGGGCTGAGATGGCGCGCGGCACCATGCATAGCGGGGCTCGCTACCGGTGCCCATAGGGGCGGTGCTGTGGCGGGTACCCCGAAGGCTGTGAGAGCCAGGGCAGAGGGGGCCTTGCTTAGGACAGGAGCCTGACACCTGTCTGCTGAAGGAGCTGTTCGGGGCTCTGGATCTTCAAGTAAAAACCAGAGAGAAATGCTGATGGTCAGTGAGTGGCTGAAGGGCCCCCTGCCCCCATCCAGCTCCACTAGAGCCTGGGCACTGCATCGCCCCTCCTCTGGGAAGGCCTCCTGGATCTCAGCCCTGGCCATGCCCCGTGTCTAACTCCTGGCCTTCCCCAGCTCCGTGTCTGACATTCCCCCCGGTACCCCCCACCAGCTGCAGCTTTGGTCCTCACCCCCTCTTCCTCACTGGGAGCAACAGTGCCTGAGGGCAGCCTGGTGATGGTTGGAGAACTTCCCCTAGGAGATGAGGTGGGAACAGAGGCAGGACTTCCTCACAGGGGGGAGGAGGGAGTTTGACGCCCTGCCACGGCAGGGCCATGGGAATGCAGGGTGCGGTCTCCCAGGGCCCCAGTGAGCCTCAAAGACCAAGTTAGGGCCGGGCTGCTTGGACCAGCCCAAACCTGGCTAATGAGGGGCTCTGGGTGGGTGAATTCTGGTGCGTGGAGAGCTGGCGGCTCCCCCTGTGTCCACCTCGAGTGGACACGTGCCATGGACTCTGGCCCAGAGCCCACAGGCCCGCCCGCCTGCCCACCCGCTGCAGAGGCAGACCAGCTACTCACCTCCCTGGAGCAGCAGCAGGAGCAGAGGGGCGGCCCAGCCACGCGGCATGCTGACTCGGGGCCTGAAAGAGACACACAGCAGACGGTGGGCCCCCGCCTGGGGACCAGGGGACCCTGGACAGCCTCCTTCTGGTCCCCATCCCTCCCTTGAAGACTTGCCTCAGATTCCCAAATGTGTCTCAGAAAAACAAGATTTTGAGGAGCCCAAGGACACCCCCAAGAATCCCTGCCCCTTGGAAACAGCTCCCCCGTGGGTCCCCCTCCCACTTCTCCCGCCTTCTTCCTGTTCCCCTTACACAGCCACAAGCAACAGGTGAGTTCAAAGAGGGAGAGGCTCGCTGTTCTCCCACACACACTCAGTCTACACTGTGTGGGGGGTTAAATTGGGCATTTACGCAGCTGAGGAGGAAGGAGCGGGGAGGGGACGCTGGTTTGGAAAGTGCTATTCAATGAGCAGCAATCTTGAGTGACCCCTCCCATAAGACACTCATGTTGACATGAGCTTTGTAAATTCTCTCCTCACTAAACAACGAATCTAAGATTCACCCACAAAGGAGACCCCGACTGGGTCCCGAAGATAAGGTTCGTCCCATGAGCCTTTACTCAATCCAAAGCCCAGGCTGCCCATGAGGCAGCGCCCTGGAAACCCAGACCCCGCCAACCAAAGGGGACCTGGGCGCCCCGGTCTAGGTGAGATGGAGAAGAGACCTTGGTGGAGAACAGCAAGCCCATCCAGGAGGAGTGCACTCTGGTGCCCTTGGCAGAGGAACAACCCACCAGGCTGGCAGTGCCAGCCTTGCCCATTGCATCCCCAGTTCTGTGTCTGCTTGGGGAGGTGCCACAGAGGCCAGTGGGCCCGCCTGCCAGGCCAGGATCCCTACCCAGACCTCCCCCACGGACAGGGGAATGGCTGGAACTGGAGCCTACAGGGATGATCCACGCAGGGAGCAAGTCACACACCTGGCTTCTTCCAGACCATCCCTGAGCCCACAGCGGGACACCCCGACACATACACCGGGGTTCCCAAGATCCTACTCCGGCCCCATCAAGAGCTCACTCTGAGCTCCCTTCCAAGTCCCAAGTAGTCAACGGAGAGGGTCAGATTACCAGCTGTGTGGCTCTGGGCCAGTCACTTGCCCTCTCTGAGCCTTGCAGGAAACAGTAAAGCCCACTTCCAGGATTCTTGTGCAAATTCAGAGTGATTTGCATGCCCCTGACACCCAAACACTCAACAATAAAGAGCCCAGATTAATACAGAATTTAGAGCTTCAGAAATGAAGGAATTTCAGAAGGGCCTAACCAAGAGCTCCCCAATTGTCTCACTTCCAAAATGGTGGCCATATTTGCAGATCATTTGTTTATTTAATGTTTTCTATAAATGAAATTACTTACAAAATTAATTCCAACCTCATCCTAAGCAATCATCTCCATAGTCGTGCAATTTTCCCAACACACGTTAAAATGAATAACGTTGTTATTAAAATACGATAGCCCGGCAGTGTAACTCAGTGGTTGAGCGCCGGCCCATGCACCAGGAGGTAGCTGGTTCAATTCCTGGTCAGGACACATGCCCAGGTTTCAGACTCGATCCCCAGTAGGGGGCGTGCAGGAGGCACCTGATGGATGTTTCTCTCTCATCGATGTTTCTATTTCTCTCTTCCAACCCCTTCCTCTCCATGAAATCGATAAAAATATGTGGGTTGTTGTTGTTTTTAAGGATAATGTTGGGGAAAACCCCTCATAAAGCTGCTTTGAAGCACATTGACCCGGCCCCACGCCCAGCAGCAGTCCTGTTACCACACTTGGAGGACTGGGCCTCCCACCACAGGAGATGGAGCCAGACCTGCGCCTCACTAGCGTGTCCACACCTGGGCCCCAGCCCAGCACAAGGCCCTGCATCGCTCTGCCCTGTCCCTCCCCAGCAGCTCTGCCTTGCCTGCAGGATAAAGCACAAATTCCTTCACCCAGATCCAAGGGTCCCCTCGGCCAACATGCCTCAGTTCTACACAAATGACACACAGGCCCTGGGGGTGATGGGGAGCTGCTGCTCTGTCTGCCTGGCCTTTCTGCCCCTCTTATGAGGCACTCCTCCAACTGGCTGGGACTCCCTAGGGTGGGCACCTGGCCCAGGCTGGGCCGGCAAAGCACCCACCCTGATGGATGTAGGGACCGGGTCAGAATGGGCAGCAGCCTGGGCATGCCCGTGAGAGCCGTCCTGGGAATTTTCTAGAAGTCTAATTGAGAGGGACTTTGGGGGTGCCCACTGGACGCTGGTACCCGTCTCTGTCACCTACTACAGAAAGGTGCCTGGAAACGAGGCCAGTACGGAGCGATGCAGACTAGAGCCCCGTGGCTTCATGTGAGGACCCGGATCCAGCTGTACATGAAGTCCAGGCCTGGACTCCTCATTTACATAAGCCAAGGAGGCGGGGGGCGGGGAACCCGTTTTGCTCACCATGTGGAATTATGCTTCTGTTGCTTGCCACCAAAGAAACCTGATACAGTGAGATAGAGTAAAAATGGGGACAATAATACCCATGGCACCTGGCCGTGAGGGGGGTCCATGGGAAAGCAGACGGGGCAGTGCTCTGTGACTGCCAGCGACTATACGAGGGTGCTGGGCTCCTGCTGTTACTGTTCCACTGATCTGAATCACTCAGAATCCTCCTCGCACCCCAGGCCCATCATGCCTCTCATGCCGGCTTCTCCTTGAACACCCTTTTCCCTCCCGTCACTCCAACCTCCGCCCTCACGGCCCACCTGCTTTGTCCCTGCACCCAGGCAGCCACCTTGAAATGCTCCAGAACTCCTACCACTCACTGCAGTCAGGGTTCCCACCGTGCTGCTTTCTATTTGCCATGTATCTTTATTTTACCTCCTGTTTCCGCCACAATAAACATGTCTTAAAGGAAGATGCACTATCACTACCATTGACAGGTAATTAGCATGAAACGGAGAGGCAGTGTGTACCACAGTCGTTAAAACAGACTTGGGGTCAGGGTGCCTCGGTTCAAATCCCCACACTGCCATTTGCATAGCTCTGCCCCGTCTCTCCCAGACCTTGAGAAGTTTACTTCCTGAGCCTCGGGGTCCTCAGGGTGAAATGGAAGTAGTCATAGCAGTACTTGCATCATAAGTTTTTCACATTAAATTAGTCAATATTTGTACAGCATTTGGAACAGACCCTGGCATATAGTAGATGTTATCTAAGTGTTTCTTAAACGAAACAGTCAACTCACCATAAAACCAAATACAGCGAAATATGAAAACTAAATACAAGGAAAACAAAAGGCAGTCATTGAATGTTAAGAAGATGCGACCCCTGCTTAAGACTTAGAACCTCTGTCAAATATTAATTGAGCGTATTGGTTGGGGCTGATTTCTGGGCTCTCTATTCAGATCAACCGAAGGACTTGTATGCATGCATATAAGCATAACCCATGGACATAAGACACTGGGGGGTAGGGGAGGACAGGGGATTGTCAAGGGCGGGGGGGAAAAAAGGGAGACATATGTAATACTCTTTGTAATACTTTAAGCAATTAAAAAAAATCAAAAAAAAAAAAAAGACTTAGGACCTGAGATTTTGTGTGCCTTTGCCACTTTAAGCAATTAAAAAAAATAAAAAATAAAAAGACGTAGGACCTGAGATGTTGTGTGCCTTTGTTTGAAGGGGGATGGAAGAGTGTCCGAGAGGCGTTTAAAACATCCTAGCACCAACCCGAGATGCTCACGCCCTCCGCCATCAGTGGATTGAGGGAAGGTTGAAAAGGGTCTAACTCTTTCAGAGGGGCCCGGGGATGTGTACCGCCAGCGAAAACAGGCCACTTGCTTCTGGGAAACACCAGCCATGACCGATGGATGACGTCTTCTCCTCGTGTTCCCACCCCACCGAGTGGGAACTCCCCCGCATCCCACTGCACTCCCTGCCCCAAATCCTTCTATTTATGGGACTTCCCACCCGGGCTCCTGAGGGCGACAGCAACTTACCTGCCAGCTGCACACCAGACCCAGGTAGGTGTGCTCCCTCAGCTCAGGACAGAGGGTGCCCTACTGGGCTTCCTGCGCAGGGGCCCTGAGCAGCACCTCCGTGTGCAGCCTCCTGCAGAGGAGTGAAGAGCACCTGACACCTGGCCTGCAGGGTCCCAACTGGGTGTCCTTGGCCAAGTTCCTGACCCTCTGTTCTCTGTTTTCTCATCTATAAAGCGGGGTCACGACTCTTGGCTACAAGTCTGTGGCAAGCGCTACGCGCCTCATTGCAGGTGGGGCGCTCCAGCACAGCCCTGGATGGCAGGGAGCCCTGGACAGGCGCTTGCGCCCCGGGCCCCAGTGCCGAGAAGTGGTTTCTGGGCTTGTGGTAATGCAGCTTAAAAGTTGGCCAGATTTCAGGAGATTCTGAGGAAGTAGACCAGCCTGGGGGCAGAAAACAAGATTGAAGTAGCTGCTGTGGAGAATATAAAGTGGTTTCTTTCCCCGTCAACAGAGAAATGCAAATAAACAGAACAGGGGCACACCATTTCAATTTTATCAATTGGCAAAACCTAGAGTCTGCCGACACCCCGTGTGGCTGCAGACAGGGGGTAATGGGAACTCGCGTTCACAGTTATCGGAAATGTAAATTGATACGATTGGTCTGGAAAATAGTTTGCATGAGCTCATTAGCATGAGCAAGCACTTGCCGTGAGACCCAGCAATTCCCCCCCTGTGTACATTACAGGAGAAACTGCCACATGTGTACTAGAAGCGCATGCAGCAATGTTTACGGCAGCGTTGATTTTTAATAACGAAAAGCTGGAAACAACCTAAATATCCAACAGCAAGAGAATGGAAAAGCAAATGGTGGTAGGATTACTCAATGTGAAAATGAATCATAGCTTCACACCACAAAACAAATGACTCGCACAAACAAAACGCGAAATGAAAACAAGTTAGGAACGAACACCGCCCGTGGCACACTCAGCACCAGGTGAAACGGCTCTATGTGCTGTGCAGGTGAACGTCCACGTGTCCTTACAAAGCAAACAGGTGCCCAAGCAGATGGCAAACATCA